TTCCAGAGCTGAGATATCGAAACTCAAAATTTCGACCCGAAAAAAAAACGACAGTGTTACCCCTTACGTTTTTTTTTTGGGCGAAAAATTAAGTATCCCCAATCTTCTCGAAACTCTGGATTCTGATAGAGGGCACTGAGACTTACACCTGAGTGCAAAAATGGAGGCTCTAGACCCTTCCAGAGCTGAGATATCGAAACTCAAAATTTCGACCCGAAAAAAAAACGACAGTGTTACCCCTTACGTTTTTTTTTTTTGGGCGAAAAATTAAGTATCCCCAATCTTCTCGAAACTCTGGATTCTGATAGAGGGCACTGAGACTTACACCTGAGTGCAAAAATGGAGGCTCTAGACCCTTCCAGAGCTGAGATATCGAAACTCAAAATTTCGACCCGAAAAAAAAACGACAGTGTTACCCCTTACGTTTTTTTTTTTGGGCGAAAAATTAAGTATCCCCAATCTTCTCGAAACTCTGGATTCTGATAGAGGGCACTGAGACTTACACCTGAGTGCAAAAATGGAGGCTCTAGACCCTTCCAGAGCTGAGATATCGAAACTCAAAATTTCGACCCGAAAAAAAAACGACAGTGTTACCCCTTACGTTTTTTTTTTTGGGCGAAAAATTAAGTATCCCCAATCTTCTCGAAACTCTGGATTCTGATAGAGGGCACTGAGACTTACACCTGAGTGCAAAAATGGAGGCTCTAGACCCTTCCAGAGCTGAGATATCGAAACTCAAAATTTCGACCCGAAAAAAAAACGACAGTGTTACCCCTTACGTTTTTTTTTTTTGGGCGAAAAATTAAGTATCCCCAATCTTCTCGAAACTCTGGATTCTGATAGAGGGCACTGAGACTTACACCTGAGCGCAAAAATGGAGGCTCTAGACCCTTCCAGAGCTGAGATATCGAAACTCAAAATTTCGACCCGAAAAAAAACGACAGTGTTACCCCTTACGTTTTTTTTTTTTGGGGCGAAAAATTAAGTATCCCCAATCTTCTCGAAACTCTGGATTCTGATAGAGGGCACTGAGACTTACACCTGAGCGCAAAAATGGAGGCTCTAGACCCTTCCAGAGCTGAGATATCGAAACTCAAAATTTCGACCCGAAAAAAAAACGACAGTGTTACCCCTTACGTTTTTTTTTTTTGGGCGCAAAAATCTAGTATCCCCAATCTTCTCGAAACTCTGGATTCTGATAGAGGGCACTGAGACTTACACCTGAGCGCAAAAATGGAGGCTCTAGACCCTTCCAGAGCTGAGATATCGAAACTCAAAATTTCGACCCGAAAAAAAAACGACAGTGTTACCCCTTACGTTTTTTTTTTTTTGGGCGAAAAATTAAGTATCCCCAATCTTCTCGAAACTCTGGATTCTGATAGAGGGCCATGAGACTTAGACCTGAGTACAAAAATGGAGGCTCTAGACTCTTCCAGAGTTGAGATATTGAGATATTTATAACGGCATAAATGCTACGTGGGACCTCAATATCTCAGGTCTGGAAGGGTCTAGAGCCTTCATTTTTGCACTCAGGTCTAAGTCCCATGGCCCTCTATCAGAATCCAGACTTTCAAGAGGAACAGAGAAACTCAAAATTTCGACCCCCCCAAAAAAACGACAGTGTTACCCCTGTCGTGTTTTTTTTTTTGAGTGAAAAAGTAAGTTTCTCCAATCTTCTTGAAACTCTGGTTTCTGATAGAGGGTCAGATAGACCTCAATATCTCAATTCTGGAAGAGTCTAGAGCCTCCATTTTTGCACGCAGGTCTAAGTCTCATGGCCCTCTATCAGAATGCAGAGTTTCAAGAAGATCAGAGAAACTCAAAATTTCGACCCCCCCAAAAAAAACGACAGTGGTAGGCTACCCGTCGTTTTTTTGTTTTGTTTTTTTTTTGGTGCGAAAAATAGGCTACTGCATAAACTATAGACCAATTCAGTATTAAACAATAGTGGCTTTAACATACATTTTTTAAAGTTATATTTTTTATGTAACCTTCTCCCTCTACACACTTCAATTCAAGAATAATTCATGCAATTTTTCATTGTTAATTTGAAAGAATTAAAAGTGCAGTTTCTTGTCTCTCCTCTTTGTATTGTTCAAGTGGTTAAGGTTGATATAGGATTTAGCAATTATTAAAGGGTAACTAAACACTAAACCAACTTTTTTTAGTTAATGATCTGTAAGAATGGATCTTTATTAATACCAGTTGTAAAGGACTCTATTTTGTGATGTTAGGTGGAAGGCTAGTCCACTACGGAACTCCGGCAAGAAGTATGACAGGAGACAGAAGACAGTTCAATTATTTATCTCTCCAGATGTGCCAGTATACATTTACAGCATTGGAATTGAGGTGGTAAACGTGTGGTTTAGTCTGAAATAAACAAATAAATATATCAGAATATGTCTGAATACAGTTAACATAAATATTCACCTCAGTATACATTATTTAACATTATATATCTATATTGTCCACAGCGCGGTAAATGGCGCTAAACATATTCGCGGGAATTACACTGACATCACTCGCCTCAGAACACATTCATCAAGATATGAACAAAATAACAGCAATCAGATATACAGCTGCAACATTGAAGTGTTAATATATCACTATAACAGCTAAAGATAAGGATAAATGAACTTACATTCATGCACGCACAGTTACCACTTGTCGAAGATGAAGATGCGGCAGAGACGAAACTGAAAGTAAACTAAACTGAGAATGCGCGTGAATGCGCTCTACGTGCACTACAGCTTAATATACATTAAAGGGCTACTACCTATTACCATATAAGTATAAGGAATTTAGTACACCAGTCATAGTTTCGAATAACTTTTAAACATTTGTTTATAAAGTGTTCTATTTCTACAATATATGGTGTAAAAACGTCTTAGTGCTGCCCTCTTCAGGTTGAACGGTGGCTACTGCAGTTGAATTTTCCTATTGGATGTTTGCGGTAGTACGTGACACAGCGGTTGTTGGTGACGTAGGCAAGTTCCATACAAAGAGATGCGTCTCAGGTGCACGCCACCCTCCGCTGGGGTCTGCCCACCTTTCCAGCATTTTTCAAATATTGCCAGTGGGTGGAGTCAGGCTCTGACCAGGGGTTTAGTTACCTTTAACATGTAGACAAACACTTTCTAGAGATAGTAATTATTATACATTAATCTAACTACACCGTTGAAGATGTCATTTGTAGTTAATAATTCATAACTATTTTAGAGTAACTTACTATAATAATATCAGAGGTGAAACTGGAAGAATGTTATTCAACCTAAAGTAGGCTACTATTACTTTGATAAAATTTTTACTTAAGTAAAAGTAAAAATACCAGTCTAAAGATCTACTCAAGTAAAAAGTAGTTAATTTAAAACATGAGTAAAAGTTGCTGAGTAACTTGTTTAACAGCAGGGGTGGGGTGGGGGACATCCCCATGTGGGGAGAGTTTCACAGTATGAGAACCGTCTCAGAAAATATCACGGTTTATGGTATTAAACAATTATTAAATATATAAACTGCATTATTAAATTACGGTTATTATTATCATCAGTTAAAATGACAGTTAAATAAATTAAACATTTGTTCAATAAAACATAGGCCTATGTAATCAAGTAACTTCAATAATTGATTATGAATAAGATTAACATCTTATTTTTTATCATTAGTAACTTATTAAATTATGTTTGAAATAATTGAGTTCTATTAAATGTTTTTTACTCCAAATTTTTAATGATTTAATAAAAATATATTATCAAAAACGGTGGTAATCAAATAAAAGTTTTATTTTTTTTGTCAAAGTGCTGCAAAACAGATTTAGTCAATTAAACCATGGACAAACAATATATATTCTTTAAAGAATGAGTAAATACATTTCAGTATTATTGTTGGTGTTTAAACAGCACTTCCTCTTTAAAAAAGGAGAGGAGACCGCAAGAAACTCTGGGTTTACTGAAGAAAACCAGGTTAGGTTCACAGAGTAAGTTACCATGGTAACTGACTGATATTAATTATCTCTTTCAGAAACGGGCTTGACTTACTCTGCTTTCTCGGATTTGATATACCCCCCTTTCTGAAACGGAAAACCTCATTTCAGGGTTAACATACTCAGAGTTTTCTCTGTGAAAAGTGCTCTATAAATAAACTTTACTTACTTACTTTTCACTTAACCTCCTTTCTGAAACAGGCCCCAGGTATCCGTCTGTGTGGTTTTAAAGTATCAGATCTTTGAGCTCTACAATTAAAATGTGTTTGACAACTTCTATACATTATTATGGTCATTTAAATGCATTTCAGTATCATGAATGGGCACTAACCCGTTTGCTCCTCCTCGGTATCTTCATGTTTTATTCTGGTAGAATCGCTCCCATCCTGACACGACATCCGGCGAAAACAGTCTGCTCGTCTTTTCATTCATGGTCGTTTTAATCAGTTATTATCAATATCAACGTTCAACTTGAAAAAAAAAATCTATACTGCGCATGCTCACGAGGTCATGACTTCTTAAAGGGGTTGCACATTCTAAAGCAAATCACTGGTATAATTTAAATAACACGTTGCAATCGTAAAAATGGCGTTGACAGTCTAGTAACCTTCACCGTGTTCAAATTAGAGTTGTTTTTCTGCTAGACATGCTTGCACCATTACTCTTTGCCTCCGTATGGTGTCTTCTTTTGAATGTTAAGTCTATAAATTTGTATAAATGTAACACAAAAGAAGACACACCATAATGCTTGCTTACATTGAAAATAATGAGTATATCTACATCAATGTACAGTCACATACATACGTAAATTTTAAGTTTATTTAATTCTTTTAATGTAGGCTAGTGTAAAATAGTGTAAAAAGCACAGTTTAAAACTTTTGATCAGTTGTAGTGATATTTGATTTGTACAGTCTATGCAAAATTACTGGAATCGTTTAAATCATGTAAATAAAGAAAACAGTTTATTTTTCAGTTTGTTTATTGTTTAATATTTTACAGTTTCTATTTTTTTCTAACTACATCCACCAAATCTGGCGAACTAAAGGTTCGGTACTTCATTGTTCAATAATAAAGGATACATAATAACTCGAAACTCTTTGTATGATACACGACCTGATAATAGTGTACATCTCAAACTCATTAACTACAGTATTGTGTAGTAAATAAGATGTGTTTGAAACTAAATAATCATAGCTCAACCAAGATAATATGCACATCATATTATTTCTCATGTACAATCAGAATTCCATTAACATATTCTAGACAAACAAAATATGCACAAAAAAACAAAAAACCCACAAAAGACTGGTGAACTTTCAACTCTTATGTCTTTAAAGTTCTCAGAGCATTTCAACAAATTCACCAACTAAACTAAATTGTGTATTTGCAATGAAAATGAAAGCTATTAAAGTTACAACGCATCATGATTTTTTTGTATATGAATAAGAAGGCTTGATGAAGACGGAAAAGTCTCTCCACACTGAGGGCAGTCGTACGGCTTCTCTCCAGTATGAAGCCGCTTATAATGCTCTTTCAGGGTTCCAGACTGAGCGAATCTCTTGTCGCAGTATGAGCACTTGAAAGGTTTTTCTCCCGTGTGAGTTCGCTCGTGTACTTTCAGAGACCAAGCATGAGTGAAACTTCTGTCACATGTGTGAGCACTTGCAAGGTTTTTCTCCAGTATGAATTCTTCGATGGAGTCTCAGACAAGAAGCTCTATTAAAGCTCTTCCCACAGTCGCCACACACATGATTTTTCACACCGGTGTGTATTATCTGGTGCTGTTTAAGAGAGTTTATCCATGTAAAACTCTTTCCACAAAAATAACACACATATTGCCTCTCATTTGAATGTTTTTTCATGTGTTCTTTTAAATTTGCCGATATATTAAAACCTTTACCACACTGATCACAGCTAAATGGCTTTTCTCCAGAGTGAACACGCAGATGATTGTCCAGAAGAATTTGACTTCTGAAGCTCTTCTCACACTGAGTACATTTGTGCAGCTTCTCTCCAGTATGAACTCGCTCGTGTGATTTCAGAGAGGCAGAATAAGTGAAACTCTTCTCACAGAATGAGCACGTGTAAGGTTTTTCTCCAGTATGAATTCTTCGGTGCTGTTTCAGATATTCAGTTCTAGAAAAGCTCTTCCCACAGTCCAAACACACATGATCTCTCACTTTATTGTGTGATTTCTGGTGCTGTTTACAATGATCATGCCGTGTAAAAGTCTTTCCACAAACAGAACACACAAAAGGCCTCTCACCTGAATGAAGTTTCTGGTGTTGTTTTAGATTTGATGACGAAACAAAATCTTTCCCACACTGATCACAGTTGAATGGTTTCTCTCCATAGGGTAAACACTGATGTTTTAAGAGTCCAGATATATATGTGTAAAACTTTCCACACCGAGAGCAGGTGTGCAGTTTTTTGGTTTTTTTTGGTTGAGTTTGTAAGTTACCGTTATTTTCATCCGCTTTATTCAGTTTGTGCTTTTGCTCCATCGTCTCCATCTGGTCTGAAATAAACATATTAATTCAGAATCAGTTCATGGAGAATAAATGTGAAAACTCATATATACCAGGGCCTGTACAAGATACCTTTGTTGTGGCAAATAATACCTCTGTCATTTGCTTATTAATGCAATTAAAATTTTAATGACATTGATTACTATTATCCAAGGTTAAGATCATTTAGACATTATTTATCACACGTACAGTGTGCTTTATTTTACAGCCACTAAATCAATGAAGAATTAAGAATGGACACCAACCTATTTGTTCCTCAGTCTCTTCATGTTTTATTCTGGATGGTTCTGGATCAGTCATGTCTTCAATCTCCTCTTTAATAACATCCATCTCCTCTTCAATCTCCTCTTTAATCTCCTCTTTAATAAACTCCATCTCCTCTTTAATAACCTCCATCTTTAACAGTCACGCAGATTTCAGCTGCTACTCCTGGAGTTTGTCCTTCTCTTGTAGGATGATGGGAATATTCCCAGTGTTTATTGGTGAATTGATGTGTGAATTATGATCCCGTCACCCACAGGACCAGATTTGGCTAATTTGAAAACAACTTGGTGAATTCATAGAAAATAAGTTACTTAAATTACATTATAACATCGCCTATGTTAGAATACAGGGTGTTTGTATGGTTAAACCACCCCTACAAAAATTAACCATGGTTTATATATTATAGTAAAAGTATAATAACCACAGTGTTTTGGAAGATTGAGTAGCAATTGTATAATCACAGTTTTACAAAAAAAAATACCATAGTACGTGTAGCAAAAACCGGTTAATTTTCGTAAGGGCAGAACACGTGATAAATTTCATTACGTAGTAATACTTACATCAATTCTGGAGCGGATTAATACCAAACTCTACAGATTGGGGACATCTCTCACACACACAAACTGTAAATATAAGGCATCTGAAGTCAGTTTTAGCTTCAACTGGTCGGATTTACACCACTCGTGTCTCGCGCTACATTCTTCTGCTCGTTTCGTTTGTTCCAGATTTGTTGTTCCCTTGGATTTGGTAGGGTTGCCAGAACTCGCGAGATTGCTAATCAAAACCAATCGGTAAAACCGAGGACTTGGCAACCTCCATTTTGTAAACCAAACCTGAAATCTCTTTAGCGTATTGCTGCTGCCATCTATTGGATATTCCTAGCAATTCACCCACACGTGGGATATATACACGTTAAATTAATTTAAACATTTATTGATCTACAAGATTTATTTGTAAATTTGACATATTTGTGACTACTTGTCTGTGAGTTCAAAATTCAGTACAGGTTTGTGACTGTTGTCTGAGTGCAAATCTCAACATTCAACTTATTGAATATGGAATATGTGGTTTGCACAAGATATAGGCATATTAATCATAATGGGAAACTGTATAGTGTTATTTAGAACAAAGCAAAAACAAATAAATACCAAAAGTAAAAAAAAAAAACACCAGCAATGAATGTAACAAATAAAGGAATAAATAAAAGAGTAAAACATTAAGTCTTTCCCTTCAAGCGTTTCTCAATCAGCTCTGTGGTCCCTCAATCACACAAAAACAGATGTTGTCAGTGAAATGGTCATTTTATTTAATTTCAGACCCTATAATTGAAAAGACATGTGTGCTTCTATATCTATGACAAAATAAAAACATGTTTCAAAAACTCCATACTGACGTTAAAAGCTCAAATTGTTTCTTCTTTTTAATTCGTTTCCAGTCTCATTTCACTTTTGGGACTTCGTTGGCTCAAAGAATAAAAGATTACACACTTGCTGCTCTGAAAGTATCGCCTCCACAAATCTTCTGGTATTTCACAGCAACGCTAGTTTAACTACACATTTGACTGAAAATAATAAATTAATGTACTGACTCTCAAATAACATTAACATTTGCTCAGTGTGACACATGACAATGATTTTTAATATGAATCCTTAAAGCCGTTGATTGGGTGAAGCTCTTCTCGCACTGAATACACTGATACGGCTTCTCTCCAGTGTGAACTCGCTCGTGTGACTTCAGGTTTCCCGCCTGAGTGAATCTCTTGTCACAGTATGAGCACTTGTAAGGTTTTTCTTCATTGTGAATTCGTAGGTGCCGATTCAGTTGTCCAGCTTTAGTAAATCTCTTCCCACAGTCACAACACACATGATCTCTAATTCCACTATCTGTTTTCTGGTGCAGTTTAAAACTGTCCAGCCATGAAAAACTCTTTCCACAGAAAGTACAAAAGTGAGGCCTGTCATCTGAATGAACTGTTTTCAGATTTGACGATGATCTAAAATCTTTTCCACACTGATCACACTTAAATGGGTTTTCTCCTGAGTGAATGCGCAGATGATTACAGAGACCTCGGGGAGATTTGAAACTCACTCCACACTGAGTACAGTGGTAAAGCTGCTCTCCAGTATGAAGTTGCTCGTGCACTTTCAGGTTTCCAGACACATTAAATCTCTTGTCACAAACTGAGCACTTGTAAGGTTTTTCTCCAGTATGAATTCGCTGGTGTCGTTTCAGTTGAGTGGCTGTAGTAAAGCTCTTCCCACAGTCACAACACACATGATCTCTCACTTCATTGTGCATTTTTTGATGCTGTTTAAAACCTTCCAGTCGTGAAAAACTCTTTCCACAGAGAGAACACACATAAGGCCTCTCATCTGAATGCACTTTCAGGTGTTTCTTTAGATCTGAAGGCGAATTAAACTTTTTCCCACACTGATCACAGTGAAATGGTTTTTCTCCAGAGTGACGGAGCAGATGATTATTGAGACTTGACACTTGAGAAAAGCTCTTTCCACACTGAGTGCATGGATACGGTTTCTCTCCAGTGTGAATTCTCATGTGTGTGTTAAGGTTTCCTTTTTGTCTGAAACTCTTTCCACACTGTGAGCAGGAGTGCAGCTTTTTGGCTTTTGTTCCTTGAGTTTTCACATCACATTTCTTCTCTACTTCGTTCAGTTTGTCTCTTTTCTCCATCCAGTCTAAAATAAAGATATTAAGTTGTTAGAATCAGTTCAAAATTCAAGTAAATCCCTAAATCAAAGGGATAGTTCAACTTCACTCAAAAGTTAAAATACTGTCACCAATCGCTCACCTTCATGTCATTTCGAACCCATTAGACTTTTGTTTATCTTTGAAAAAACAAAGATATTTAATTGAAACCTGAGAGGTTTCTATGCCTCCATTGCGACCCAAAGAGGTCAAAAAGGCGACATAAAACAAAACTATTCAATCCATGAATCAAGACATGCAATCACTTTATATCCTTAATTTAGGGTTATATAGACATATAATCAAAGTTACGTGCATAGACTGCACCAAAAATGGAAAACATGAAGACAGTACAAAAATGTCATTATTGGGTAATATAACCCTCTACAGGTCTCCATGATTATCAAGAAATCAAGCATTTCAATGTGGGAAAGGTTAGGTCTGTCATTATCTTCTTAAAGGGATAGTTCACTTTGAAATTAATTGTTGGTATGTTTTAGCTTACCTCAAGGGCATCCAAGATTTTTCTGCTGTAGTTTCAATTTTGATATTTTTAGGTCAAACCGTTCTTGTCTGTCAGTCATATAATGGAGGTCTATGGTCACCAGCTTATAGAGCATGCACGGAGAAGTCAAAATTAAACTCGGGATGCGCCGATCCGATACTCAGGCCATTTTTGCTAGATCGGGTATCGATCAGACGAGGCCGATCTAAATCCGATATTGTGCGTAGTATATTATTCTATGTTATTGTTAAGCCCCACAAAAGGCACAAAAACATTTTTAAGTTCCATGAAGTTTTCATGCACTCTATTATAAGTGTTGTGAAGCCATTATGAGAGAAAGGCATTAATATTTAAGTAATTAAATTCAAGATCACGTAAACTTTTCCCTCCGATGCGGTTGTCATTCAGCGTTCAAACAGCGCGTCACGTTCGGTTACAGTCAACGATGAAACTATCTTCAAGATGATTCAATGTTAATCTTATTATACTTGATCTGTAGAAAAAGGTCTATGGTTTTGGACGTGGCTGTGGTTACAAGAGGTAAAAACTATATAAATACTGTTCGTTTTCACACACAAACCGCTCATTTCGTGTCTTAGGCCATCAGTGTATACTTACATTTACGAGTCATTAAATCATGTTCAATTTGGACTTCTCTGTGCATGCTCTTTGAGGTGGACCCCATAGACCTCCATTATATGACTGACAGACAAGAACGGTTTCACCTAAAAATATCAAAATTGAAAATACTGTGGAAACAAAGATGGTAACAAAGAGGTAAGCTAAAACATTCCAAAAATGTATTTCAAAGTGAACTATCCCTTTAATACAATCAAAATTTCTTTGAAAACTGCTATACAGGTTACGATTAGAGGCAATTCTTTTTCATTTCCTATAGTGTATTTCTCATTATTTCACCAAAGCAGTCAAAATGAATAATCAAGAATGGACACCAACCTTTTTGTTCCTCAGTATCTTCATGTTTTATTCTGGATGGTTCTGGATCACTCATGTCTTCAATCTCCTCTTTAATAAACATCTTTGCCATATGTCAGGCAGATTGCAGTGGTTACTTCTTTGTTCTTCTCTTGTAGGATGATGGGATGAATTGTTGTGTCTGGAAGTCACTAATGATCTCCTGTCGCTTAAAAAAATTAATTAAAAAATCTATGTTCATAAAATTGATTTACATGTTTAGTGTTTCAGCTTGATTGGTTCCTTTATTTTGTACTTTCAGTTTTATTTGGGTAAATTCGTGTAGCCTAAACCATGAGCAGAAAGCCAAAATATACGTTTTTTTGCCACAATTTTAATATCCATTATAGTTCATATCAAACTTTTTTTTTTTTTTGGTATCTTCATTTTGAAGGCCCATTATGCTTCAATCCCAGAGATATGGAAAGCTCAATTTGGCTCATATAATTAGCAACTAACCCTAACATTAACCCTAACCCTGAGGGCTTCTTAAAGTCTAACCAAATACATGAATTCATTCATTCAGTTCCAGAAGTGAATATAGTTACACACAACTCAAAATAAAATATATTTAATATGAAATGACAACAATCAAAGTTTCTGATAAATTGTATTAATACAGAGAATGACTGACTGACTGATTTACCAATGAAACATTTCTTTTATACAATTTACAGTTGGCAAAATATCAGACACTGCAAAATGAATAGTAATAGCTCAGATACCGAGGCACTAAACCCAAAAAGCTAACGTAAACACAACAAAGTTAAACAAAAATCCCACAATTGAACGAATATGTGTAAAAGGTAGGCATCTGGGGTTTTGTTTCGTTTAGTTATGCATAATTTAAAGCGTTAATCATTTAAAGTATCAGTTTTGTATAGATATTATAGTCGTTGTTGTTTACCTTCCTCGTTCTCTAGCTCTCATCCTCATCTCGTCTCATCTGCCGCAAACGCGCTCTGAACTGTCGTAAACACCCACCGTATGCGTACTCGCTTGTTTTCCTCCAGAGGGCGCTTATGATTTACAAAGCTGAAACTGCATTGAAGCGCACTGTTTCACTTTTTAAAGACATTTTACACAACAAAGTACAAGACAACTACTATCTTACACCGTTGTTGTTGGCATATAGTGGCAAAATAAAGGAGGAATTACTGATTGATTGCTATCAGGATGTGAAGAGATTTTCAACCAGCAGCCTACAAAGTGTTTGTTGTTAAACAACAACTCAACCAATTGCCCAAGGGAAATATAAAGTCCACTTACAAATTTTCTTTTTCGAGAAGCCGTTTCACTCGGAAATACTATCGCAACTTCAGTTTCATACTGAATTTAACAACCAACACTGTTTAACGGTGAGTTAAAGATCAAATGAAATAGACACAAAACTTTCTCCAAAGCCCATTTCACACAGAGATTCCGGAAAATACACAGATCCATGATGTCACAATTATGATTTAATGATGATTAAATCAATACATAGCTATAGAATTCATAAAGAAAATATTAATACGATTCATAAAAAAAAATCATTATTTAAAAAAAGTAAGAAATAAAAGACATTTACCAAAAGAATACATTTGAATGCACATACTTTTTCATACGCCAATGACAAATGACTGATTGTAGATTTTTGTTCCATTTCTTTCCAGTCTCTAATTTTACATTTCAAACAAAGAATTCAAAATCTTCTGGCATTTCTATACATTTATTTTATCTGAATCTCACATGACAGCACCATTTAGGAGGAATTGCCAAAACACTAAATCCCATTCCTCTGAAAATTTGTCAACTAAATCACTCTCTCCGTAAATGTTTGTAAACAAGTTCAGGTACTTGCTTTCTTTTTGCAAAACTCTAAACACATTCTCACTAAAACACATTTTGCACTCCTCTGCCATGTTTCAAACCACACAGTCGGGTAAAAGTTAAACACAATTACAACACAGTTGTCAATGTTTACACACAATGACTCATAATTGTTCACATTTATTTCTAAATATGTGCCCAAATTAACCGTACAGAATACCAGTCAGTTCATCATACCAGCAATGGATTAAACTATTTTAAGAGTGAGAGGAGGAGGAAGAGCAGGTGTGGACAGTGTTGTCGAGGCTGGATCTGCTTTAGGGTTTTTCTCTTTCTGAGTGTCGTTTCGTTTCTTATTGTAACCTGTTCGGCTTTTTGCATTTGGGTCACTGTCAAGTGCTGAATATACAGACTACTACACAATAATCAGTGCAATGCTATACTTGCAGTGCACACAGTATATCATTTATTCACCTCACTAATGTAAGTTTTTATTACTTTACTTTTTAAAAACGTTTTTTATGTTGTGTCTATGTACTGATCTGAAAGCATTATTTTGATTTTGAAAAGAACATATTAGATCTGAGTACAAAATTTCTCAGTGACACATGGCAATGATTTTTAATATGAATCATTAGAGTTTTTGATTGGGTGAAACACTCTCCTGAGTACAGTGGTACAGCTTCTCTCCAGTATGAAGTCGCTCGTGTTTTTTCCTGGTTCCAGAATGAGTGAAACTCTTGTCACAGTATGAGCACTTGTAAGGTTTTCCTCTAGTAAGAGTTCGTTGGTGCTGTTTCAGATTTTCCACTGTAGTAAAGCTCTTCCCACAGTCACAACACACTTGATCTCTTACATTATTGTGTGTTTTCTGGTGCTTTTTACAATGATCCAGCCTTAAAAAACTCTTTCCACAGAATGAACACAAGTGAGGCTTGACATCTGAATGAACTTTCAGGTGTGATTTTAGATGTGATGATAAAATAAACTTTCTATCACACTGATCACAGTTAAATGGCTTTTCTCCAGAGTGAACGCGGAGATGATGATATCTGAGATCAGTTTTACATCTGAAACTCTTCTCACACTGAGTGCACGGATACGGCTTCTCTCCAGTGTGAATTCTCATGTGTTTGTTAAGCTTTCCTCTTTCTCTGAAACTCTTTCCACACTGAATGCAGGAGTGCCGCGGCTGAGTTTTGATGCTCTGCTGTTTCTCCTCTGCTTTAATGACTTCATGTCTTTGCTGATTTACTTCCATCCAGTCTAAAATAAAAACATTTTGTGGTTAAAATCAGTTCAAGTGAACTCTGATTCAACATAAGAAAGCAACAGAGTATCAAGTATAATTTCTTTGAGGGACCAAAGGTTAGGTCTGTCATTCTCTTGTTAATACAATCAAAATGTGTTTGACAAGCTTATGAACATTTAGATACATTTCTGTATCTCTTATCAGCTCGTTATTTCACATCCACCAAATCTGGTAAACATTGCTTTGCAGTCATCTAGCAAGAATACACACCAACCTATTTGTTCCTCAGTATCTTCATGTTTTATTCTGGATGGTTCTGGATCAGTCATGTCTTTAATCTCCTCTTTAATAAACTCCATCTTTAACAAAGTTCGGCACACAAATTTAAATTGTTTGCTCTTGGATTTCTCCCGTTATTTCCATAGTTTATTTCGTGTCATGAGGACGATCATCTTCTTTTACGTTTTCTGGTCGGTTGAAAACCGCTTTTAGGCGCATTTGCGCCACCTTTTGGAGCGTAGAGCAATTGCGTTGGAAAAAGAGGAATAAAGTAAGTTCTAACCAGAACAGAAGGAAGCGTGTATTACCATCGTGGAAACTTAAAAATACTATGAATAATTCCTTATTACGAATTATTTCGAATTTTAGAATGCAATTTTAGAATAATTTTCCATGTACAACACTGCGCATGTGCAACGTCGAAGAGACATGCGCACTCCGATGTAAACAAGCTCAATATCACTGAACCATCGGTCTCTGACAATAGATGGCGCTTTTGGGAACAGCCAATTTTTTTTAATTAAATCTTAACAATACAAAAAAACAGTAAGACACAAATAAACTCAATACAGAAAACACAATATTAAACAAGAACAGAGCCAGGGGAAGTTTCAAATAAATACATTAAAAATAGAGCATAACTGAATGGTTTTAGCAGCCTTCTTATTTTGTGAATCATAAATGGATTTGATGTACTGTTCCGTCTCCAAAATGTAAAGTTGTGAGTTTTGAAAAGTACATGATCTTTCTACGACATTTGATGAGTGCGCGCTGTCGCAAAGACTACATTTATCCCTCGAGAGTTAAAACTGACTAAGGTCTAATAATGGACAAGACTACTTGAAATCACATAAAGTCGGTGAAATAATCTTTTTTATGTATCATATAGAGCCTATAGATAACACTTAACTTCAGCTGTTCTGTTTCTCGTTCAGTAACAAAATAGTAGTGATTCTTAATAAACACCATTATAATTATGTTTCTCCAGTTTTGAAATTTGGTTGTCATGTAAATACAATTTTTTCCCCAAGCTTACAACTTAGTGCAACAGGATCTTTAAAACCATAGTAAATAGTACAAATGATCAAGAGCTTATTTATTGTTTAATAATTTACTTGTGAAACGATCTTTAGTACTTTATACAGTATAAGCATTCAATAACAAAGGATACAAATGAACTCCAACCTCTTTGTATGATTGCATAGAGATACACTAGACGTCACCTGGGGGTTCTAAGCATGCATCAAAACCGCCGCCATCTTGGAACAGGGGTCTTGTCATAGGAAGTAGCTAGGTAACGCTGCTATCTCTGCCTTTACTTCGAATTAATTGATGGTGGCAGACTTTTGTGCAGCGTATGAAGTTCACGGATGAAATCTGAACTAGGAAGAATGTTTTTTTTTAAAAAAAAATAAATAAAATTTTTTCTTTCTTTCTGGAATCAATGATAAATTCATGTCTGACCGTTGGAACAAACCAAAAAAACAAGAAAAATCGCATTCATGATGATTTATGGTGATTTTATTTGCGTTAGACCTGTGTCTACTACATTAACGCTGATGCATTAAAGTGGAGGGGCTCCCCTGTTTCAAGATGGCGGCTCTATTGACGCATTCGTTCTAATGAACTGCCGTATCCAAGGTGAAGTCTAGTGTATATGTCTATGGTATGATTACATACTTGAGACCTCTAATTTTAAAATGTGGGTTGATTTTACAGTAACACTCTACATCCCAAAGATATTAATCACAGTATTAAGATAGAATGTTTAAACTCATTAATATGATTTAAAACTTTATCTGTGTTCAATAAATAGAGCAATCACTTGAGACAATGTCACACAACTGTAGGAAAAATAGACTAATGCAGAGGGGATTGAATTAACACTTTATTAAATGTCTATATAGAGACAAATCTGTTCAACTGAAATATCAAGTCCAGTTGATATGCAGCTGAGGAAAAACAAGTGCTGGAAATGACCTGGGCTGTCATTTAACTCTTCAACTCTTCTGAAGCCTTACCAGAAGAGTTGAAACTCCATACGAAACCCTTCGGATTAAGAATGGGATGCCATTAAAGTTCATGTGCATGTAAAGACAGATGTCCCAAAACTTTTGGCAATATAGTGTATGTACATGTTTTCGTCTATTTATTGATTCCTATCAGGATGTAAAAAGCGTTTCAACAAGTGTAAATACAAGTGTTTTAAAAAAAATGCCTACCTTACCTTTAATCTAGAATCTAGATTATACAGTGCTTTTAGGACAAACTGCATATTTTATCTCACAGAATTTCATTTTATCATGTTAATTACTTGCAAAAAGTTTTTTTATGAGCATGAAGGCTTGATAAATGTCTAAAACTCTTCTCACACCGAGTACAGTGATACGGCTTCGCTCCAGTGTGAAGTCGTTCATGTGATTTCTGGTTTCCAGACAGTGTGAAACTCTTGTCACAGTATGAGCACTTGAAAGGTTTTTCTCCAGTATGAATTCTTTGGTGTTGTTTCAGATTGTCAGCTGTTGCAAAGCTCTTCCCACAGTCACTACATAAATTATCTTTCACTTCAGCATGTGTTTTCTGGTGCATTTTAAAATGATCCAGCCTTGAATAACTCTTTCCACAAAAAGAGCACAAATAAGGCCTCTCATCTGAATGAACTTTCAGGTGTTTTTTTAAATGTGATGATGAAACGAACTTTGTACCACACTGATCACAGTTGAACGGTTTTTCTCCAGAGTGAATGCGCAGATGAATTTTTAAACCTGTTGAATCTTTGAAACGCTTTCCACACTGAATACAGTTGTACGGCTTCTCTCCAGTATGAACTCGCTCGTGTACTTTCAGGTTTCCAGCCAAAGTGAATCTCTTGTCACAGTATGAGCACTTGTAAGGTTTTTCCCCAGTATGAGTTCTTTGGTGCTGTCTCAGAGTGGCAGCTGCAGTAAAGCTCTTCCCACAGTCACAACACACATGATCTCTCTCTCCACTATGCGTTTTCTGGTGCTCTTTAAAACTGTCAGGCCGTGAAAAACTCTTTCCACAGAGAGAACACACATGAGGCTTCTCGTCTGAATGAATTCTCAGGTGTTTTTTTAGATTTGAAGACGAATTAAAATCTTTACCACACTGATCACAGTTGAATGGTTTTTCTCCAGAGTGAATGTACAGATGAAAACTGAGACCTGATGCTTGAGAAAAACACTTTCCACACTGAGTGCATGTATACGGTTTCTCTCCAGTGTGAATTCTCATGTGTCTGTTAAGGTTTCGTTGATTTTGCAAACTCTTTCCACACTGAGAGCAGGAGTGCAGCTTTTTGGCTTTTGTTCCTTGAGTTTTGAAGTCATGTTTCTCCTCCACTTCATTCAGTTTGTGTTTTTGCTCCATCACCTCAATCTGGTCTAAAATAAACATATTAGGTAAATAAATATTAGGTCAGTTCAAGGAGAATAAGTGTGAAAAGTCAAGTTAACATTTCTAACGCAAAGACAACAAGAGATCAGGGGTGTTTTCCAGAAAGCAAGTTATGTGACATACCCGGGAATGTTTAAGATAAGTATCATATTTTCAGGACTATAAGTCACACTTTTTTTCATAGTTTGATTGGTCCTGCGACTTATGTATCAAAATTAAATTTATAGTGACTGACATGACCAAGAGAAAACATTACTGTCTACAGCCGCAAGAGGACGCTCTATGCTGCTCCTGTAGCATAACCTCGAAAAAATAAACTGAAACACTATTAACTGTTATCACTATTATCACTGAACACAAACACAATGCCCCCCAAAAGAAAATCCTACTCTGCAGATTACAAACTGCAGGTATTAAAATATCCAGGCGAAAACGGTAATCGAGCAGCAGAAAGAAAGTTTGGAGTGAGTGAGAAACTTGTGGGGGGACTGGCGAAAAGTAGAGTTTACTATAAAGCGGGTCGCACACCGGACGAGAAGCGCAGCGCCACATCGTTTAAAATTCGAACACAATATTCTCTATGAGTGAGTGTACAAAGACTAATCAAGAATGGACACCAACCTATTTGTTCCTCAGTATCTTCATGTTTTATTCTGGATGGTTCTGGATCAGTCATGTCTTCAATCTCCTCTTTAATAAACTCCATCTTTAACAGTCACACAGATTTCAGCTGCTTCTCTTGTAGGATGATGGGAATATTCCCAGTATTTATTGGTGAATTGCTGTGGGATGGACACCAGATCTGCCAAATTCAAAGATAAGTTACTGAATTTACAGTTTTAATACAGAGATGTTCTGTAAAGTGGAACATTAAGCACATTTTATTGGTCTCAACAGGCTGAAACATGGTCATGAAAACCTCTATGCCAACATATTATTACACTCTAATTAGTGATAAACCAGGACACGCTACATATTTCATAACATTAGTACTAACACATGTAAACTCTGGAGCTGGTTAATGTTAAACTCAGCAATCTGTAAACATATATCATCTGTATATATGGCAAAAATATGAGACAATTAATTATATTTTTTCACAAAAAAGTTGCTAAATATGAAAACAAAGTACAAACAAGTCTAAAAGTAATTAGTAGCTTAGGCTAATGTTAAATTCCCTGCCCATGATCTTCATAGTGGCAAAATAAAGGACATTCATGTCCCATTCATCTTCCCCTAATGACATTTTATAAAGAATAAGGTTTGAACTGAGCTTGAGCTCAACAATAAAACATAAGCTCAGGTATGTGAGCTTGCAACAGAACACATTTTATTTTATTTTACATTTTTTGTTTATTTCTAAAGAACCCCTGCTCTGTTAGAGCGCATTATAGTCTGTATATCAACTCTTTTTTAAATTCCTTTGTGAAACGTAACAAATTGTAGGACAATATTATATGTAAAGGATAATATTATACGTAAACCAATACACATTTGAATTTATAACAATGAATTTATAAATCAACATTATAATTGTTAAATAATGATTTATCTAATGTTGTTTTACAATATTATGTCTACTAAGCTCTTATAATGCATGAAATATATTAATAGATTAATCAAGTTAGAAACAAATACTGTATACTACACTTCTGGAGATCATGGAGGTAACAAGAATTGATGGGTCTTTTGCCCTTTACAAGACGGAGCAAATGAAAATGTTTTTCGCTATTTATTCGCTATATATTCATCATTAGGTACAACCTGGATAAGACCACTGATAACTTTTTTCCTATATTTGCATTTAACGAGCTAACTTGAGCTCGACGCATGATCTCACATTCCGTCGCTAGGGAAACAAAGACGCTAACATGCAAACTGACAAAAATGCTCGACTACTTACTGTTTGTTTTCTCCACACAGCAAAATTCCTTGTGTGTTTATTCGACTATCTGTAGGTCTATGTAAAATACGAAAAAACAGCCCCTAAAAAAAATCCCTACTTTTTATTTTACGTTAGGTCTTGCCAAAATAGCTCCTTACAAAACGTTCAAAAGTCGCAACAGCAATGAGAAAGTCGATAGATTTGGCGACAAAATCCTTGAATTGGGAACACTTCAGCATAAAATGTTGAAAGTTTCAGTCAGAGTCACAACAACAGTCCTTGTTTTTAGTTTTTAAGACAGGAATAGACACTTGAGCTTGTATCGCGTTTCTCTCTTCTGCGCATCCTCAGTGCGCACGGCGTCGTTCTTCTTAAAGGGACCGCACATTCTTAAAGTCCCCGTGAACCGGAAGTTGCAAACGATTTTTCTCCAGTGCTGTGACGTATTTCCAAGTGAAACGGAATATTGAACAGAGGGCAGGGTTTTACTCTAGCGCTCCTCCTCTCCATCTCTCGCTCATAGCAAACTAACGGTTTAAGGGGAGTGGTTAAGCGTTTCCCCACCCAAACTGTGAAACGTCATCAGAAAAAGAAACCGTTCCAGACCGGAAGTAACTTTTCAGATTTTGATTAAAGATTACTAAGGTAAAACATTTTTTTAATATATATTCACTTGCACGGATTAATTGTTCACCACAAGACTAGTAATATGCGCTAACAAAGTAAATAGGTTCAATTTTGATTTCACGGGGACTTTAAGTAAACCATGTCTCCGCACTGTTAAAGGAGAACTCCGGTCAATTTTAACATTGAGCTCTTTTTTTTTCTGTACATTTGGATTGCTGTCAGTACAGACAAAAACGACAAAGATCGATCCCAGACAGCAAACTGACATTGAATCAACGTGGAAACGACGTCTCTCATGACATTGAAACAACGTTGATTTTGCTCATCGAATTAACGTTGAACCAACGTCAGACGCGGCATTCTTCAAAGCTAAATGAAAATCGAAAATTGGTTTGCTTTCATAACGTTGAAACAACGCGTTGATTTCAAGTTGATTTTCCGTTCGTTTTGAAAGAATGACGCGTCTGACGTTGGTTCAACATTAATTCGATGAGCAAAACAATGTCAGATCAACGTTGTTTCTATGTCATATTTCCACGTTGATTCAATGTCAGTTTGCTATCTGGGATGTTACCTACAATTAACACAAAATGAAATTCACTTTAGAGAAAGGCTTTGTGCCATCTGAGGTCTCTGTGAAAGTTTTAAAAAGCAGTCTTTTAGTGCCACTTCAGAGTGGTCGCGTCCGTCACGTACATTGTTTATTTTTTCCCTCATAAATACAAACACGAAAATTTAAATAAAATGATTTGTTTTGTGGAGAGCCAACCCTTCTTCATCCAGTGGGTCGTAGCCTATTACTTTTGATTTGCTCATTGTGAAAAAAAAATATATATTTTGCCTCCTAAAGATTCATGTCTATTTCCCTAATATTAAATTTAAAATGCGATTTTGGTTTCAGAACCTCAGTTTCCTCAGTTCCCTGTTCCTCAGTTTCATTACCATAGTTCCCTGAGGGTAGGGACCCAGATAGCAAACTGACATTGAATCAACGTGGAAATATGACATCGAAACAACGTTGATCTGACATTGTTTTGCTCACCGAATTAACGTTGAACCAACGTCAGACGCGTCATTCTTTCAAAACTAACGGAAAATCAACTTGAAATCAACGCGTTGTTTCAACGTTATGAAAGCAAACCAATTTTCGATTTTCATTTAGCTTTGAAGAATGCCGCATCTGACATTGGTTCAACGTTAATTCGATGAGCAAAATCAACGTTGTTTCAATGTCATGAGAGACGTCGTTTCCACGTTGATTCAATGTCAGTTTGCTATCTGGGGAATGAGTATTGCGTACCCTGCCACACTAGGAACATGGCAAGTTGTCGCTTCAGTCGATTTAAACCTGCTATAATGGCGAATTCAGGTTCACAAATTATTATTAAATCGGTTACAGGTTATGTTGGTAGAGCACCTTCGCCTTTGGATGTGCAGTTGCTGGAGCACAGCCATTCAGTGAGTCAGGCCCCGTCCACAATATTGCGTTTTCGTTTAAAAACGGAGAATTAAAATCAATGATTAAAAGCTGGTGTGTTTTTAATACCACCACCAGCGTTTTATCTACGTATTAGAATTGATTTAGGTCTTGGTTTTTCCCGTTTTAGTCTAGAGTCTAGACGGGAGGTGCAAATGTAGCAAAAGGTCTCCGTTTTTAAACGAAAACGCATTAGTGTGGACGGGCCCTCAGTCACTCACTGTGCAGTTGCAATGCATTTTACATACATTATAAGCTTCAATAAATCTGATGAAAGGAGTCCCCAATTGTGTATAGCTACGCAATTCTCATTCCCTACTCTCAGGGAACTTAGGTTACATTAGTAAGCAAGTACGTTTCAGTGCCGGTATTTGACCACACCAATTGGACAAACACATTTAACGATTGATACTTAACACTTTTTTAAATAATAGCTAAAATATATTGTTGATAGGCTGCACAATTCAATCCTGTTTGAAAGGGAAACAACAAATTGAGGGTTTCCGAGATTTTTCTTTTTTTTTGTTTAGAAGTACTAAAGTGTACTAATCACGGTTATGGATAGAAGTGTAGTGGAGTAAAGAGTACAACATTTCCCTCTCAAATGTACTCGAGTAAAGTCATGAGTACTCCCCAAAAATGATACTCGAGTAAAGTACAGATCCCTCAAAATTTTACTTAAAGGAGCTGTATGCAAGAAATTTTATTTCAATTAAACCTAAATTTTACCTGATATGTCACTAGACATTAAGAAATCATGTTCATTTCAAATACTTACATCACTGACAACAGTAGTCCGGCCTGGATATTGTCATTTAAAAAGTGAAGTCGCAGCCCTTGACTGATGTTGTGTTTTGTTCTGATGCGTCACCCTCCACTGATCTACCAATCACGGACTCAGTAGTGTTGCAGCATTCGGGTTGCCTGCTCTTACCCTTCTGAAATGAACACGTTCAATAAATTCTCTGTCTCCATATACTGTATATCTAGAAAATTGGTGTGGTTTCTCATTACTGGAAAGCCCAATCTCTCATTGCACGCCGGAAAGCCCGCTGATCGTGTAGCCTGTACACCAGACCCGCCCTCTTTCTAACAGTTTTATTTATCTCCATTTTCCCAATGGAAACAAATTTAGACTTCACACTTCACACTGGACATTTGTCTAGGCGTAAGGTTTAGTCTCAGATGGTGCAACATTTTTAAATTTTATGTAGGACTTAAAATGCATTTTATATAAAGCTTAGTCTTACAACTGGATGAACGTCCAGATGGTGCAATCGGCCCCAGGTGCTTTTCAGAATCGATGCTGAAGTAAAGGTTTTACATTAAATTAATTTTTTACATTAAACAATCACAATTTAACTGTTTTTTTAAAGACACAATGTTTTTTTCTGTTTCATGCTATTGACACAGAAGTATACAGACATAAACCAATGTAAGTATATATATATATATATAAAATTTGTGTATAAATTTAAATTGTCTTGAAGCTTTTCAGTGGTCCAGTATTGACCCAATTATGAACCAGTCCAAAAAAATACCGGCTTTTGGTACCCATCCCTACCCAGAGTACAGTATTAGAGCTTCTTTCCAGTATGAAGTCGCTCATGTCTTTTCAGAGATCCAGATTGAGTGAATCTCGTCTCACAGTATGAGCACTTGTAAGGTTTTTCTCCAGTATGAATTCTTCGGTGCCGTTCCAGATTGGCAGCTGTAGTAAAGCTCTTTCCACAGTCACAACACACATGATCTCTCACACCTGGATGTGTTTTCTGGTGCTGTTTAAAACTGTCCAGCCCTGAAAAACTCTTTCCACAGAGAGAACACACATAAGGCTTCCCATCTGAATGAACTTTCAGGTGTTTCTTTAGATTTGATGATGAAATAAAAATCTTCCCACAATGAGTACAGGCGTACGGCTTCTCTCCAGTGTGAACTCGCTCGTGTGTTTTCAGGGTTCCCAACTGAGTGAAACTCTTGTCACAGTATGAGCACTTGTAAGGTTTTTCTCCAGTGTGAATTCTTTGATGCAGTTTGAGATGACTTGATGTAGTAAAGCTCTTCCCACAGTCAAAACACAGATAATCTTTCACTTCTTTGTGTGTTCTCTGATGCAGTTTTAAACGATACATTATTGAAAAACTCTTTCCACAGAGAGAACACACGTGAGGCTTCTCATCTGAATGAACTTTCAGGTGTTTGTTTAGACATGACGACGAATGAAAACCTTTTCCACACTGATCACAGTTATATGGTTTTTCCCCAGAGTGACGGAGCAGATGAACACGTAAAACTGCTGCATCGCTGAAGCTCTTTCCACACTGAGTGCATGGATACGGTTTCTCTCCAGTGTGAATCCTCATGTGTGTGTTGAGGTTTCCTTTGTGTCTGAAATGCTTTCCACACTGAGTGCAGGTGTGCAGCTTTTTGACTTTTGTTTCTCGAATCTTAAAGTCATGATGTTCCGCCTTAATTTTCTCCATTTGTTGTCTTTGCTCTTTCACTTCCATCTGATCTAAAATAAACATAACATTAGAATCAGTTTAAATGAATGAAACATGATTTAATAACAGAAAGCAACAGATATTATCAGACCTTTGATGTGCTAAAGTTTAGTTCTGTCATTCTCTTGTTTATATGATTAAAATTGTGCCTGACAACTTATAGACTACAAAATAATGATTAAAAGTGCATTCAATATGACAAATAATAAGCAATGGATCGCTGCCTAAGGGATCGATATTCCATGTGACAACAGTGGCTCAACTATAAGTTTATCAAGCAACGAGAATACTTTTTGTGCGGAAGTTTAAGTTTTATAAGATCTAATGCTTGCCTTGCTCTGTACTGTGTGACTCTCCTGTTCGAACTCGTTTATCAAAACGAACGAATCTTTTCCCGAATCAACTCGTTCGTTTCGTTCGTTGATTGAATCAAATGACTCGGAAAAATCACAAACATGCGTCACAGAACAGAGCAAGGCGAGCATTTGAGCTTATAAAACTTAAAAGTTGTTATTTATTTATTAAATGAGCGATCGTTTCGCTTGATAAGACCCTTATTCATAAAATAATAACCAATACCCAGCGAAGAAAAAAAAGAACACAACACACAAAGATGGACGTCAGACAGAAACTAGTGCTGTTGAGAAGAAAATTATTACACGTCTTCTTAAATGCGCTGGCAAGTCTTTTCATCCAATGAAAACGAATGACCCTTTTTAACATAGGCGTGGTTTCTGAGCGTGACACGTATGTTAAACTTCTTTAAAATACGTCAAATACAAAGGAATATCATACAATGCAAAAACAAAGCGCTCTATTCGCATACCGTGTATAAAACTGGTGAAATATTCGTTTTTAATCGGTGATCCGTAAATTAGGGCATGAATCTGTCGCTGTTAACATCTGCTGGAAATCCAGGTAAAACTATCTGCGTGCATGCGCGCGTCCCCAGTTAACATGCATGAATTGACAGAACACCTGCAAACAAGAATATTTTTTAAGGATGGCCTTAATGGCATTAAGCCTTAACGTAACTTATACACAGAAACTCGAGGAGCTGGTTAATGTTAAACTTTGTAATCTGGAAACATCTCTCACCTGCAGACTGATACGGCATCTGGAGAAAATATTCCACATTTGTCCTCCATTCACGCCCGTTAACAGCGTCACTTTAGGCCTCAACTGGTGAAATCTTCAGCTCGTCTCGTCTCTCTCTCTTTTCTCTCTTCTGCGCATCCACAGTGCGCAGCGAGTCATATTTCTTAAAGGGGCCGCATGTTCTTAAAGTCCCCCTGTATTCAATAATTGTATATCCCTTAAAACTCGTCTTTTATCAACAAAATGACATATTTGAGCGTTTTTTCCTTGAATAGATTGAATGTAACTCCACATCCTTGTCTCATTTAGTACATGGTTCTATGAATATGAAAATTAGCCCCAGTTAAATATATTGACCTGTTTTCTAAAAGATGCTCGCCAAAGAAGCATGTTTTAGAAAAGTTTGTGAGGACAAACATGGTTTGTCTCAAAGCATTTTAAAAACACCACATAAACAATATCAAAACATTGACTTTAAGTAAATCACTTTTCGTCATTGATACAGAGCAAATTACACTATTGTCATATTTATGACTTCAACACTCTAGTTGCCTGAACTGGGTAAATCAACTGTTATACTTTTGTTATATATTTTCTTTAACTGATTTGTGCTTACAATGAAAGTTACCCAATAATAACTTGTTTATGGAGCTGTTACATAAAATCAATGACATGGGAAAACAGCACTTTTGCTTGTATATGTTGCTTGATTTTATGATACTTGCTTGTACTGATCTTTCATCATACTGTATAATTATTTTTCTTTTTTTAGACAGAAACACTCTTTAACTTTTTTTTTTTTTTGGTTAGATGATAGTAACGGGATGAGAGAGAGAGATACATTTGGTGGAAAACGAAATAGAAATCATTCTCACTTAACAAATGTGACACAAATATCTGAATTTTTCAACATTTTTTAACTGTTCTCTTTTGAACTATAAGCCTTAAAGAGTCGTGTTGTGCAGTATTGTGTCCAAAAATAAACAGGAGCAAAAAACTATTGAATAAGTAAGTTCTTTTATGTGAAACAATGATCACACCTAATTTAATTAGTCTGGTCTGTACAGTGGAAATGCAGTTAATAATTTCTGACAGGCATATAAATGAACAAATCAAACGAGTGCAAACAGGTAAAAATGAAGCCATTACCTGACAGAGTCAGTCTAGACCAATGCTGAGTCCGGCTGTGGTCAAAACCAGAACCGGTCCTCACTGTAAGCGAAGCAACCCAACGAAATGAATGTTGGTAATGAAATGATGAGTGTTGCTGATGCAACAAGCAAGGATCATGATTGATTTATCAAAAACTGGCAACATCGATGACCTATACACGCAAGTTATAAAGGCGGCTGCCCTGCGCTCGACTAATATCACCAATGAACGAATACGACCTCGACTCTGCCTGTGTCCGTTGCCGCCGGCTTCCCCTTCCTGGACTTGGGTGTGGACTACAAAATAGAAAGGGTTAACTGATAAACGTGATAAAACGAAGCGGAAATGACACGAAACAGCACGTGCACCAATACCCAGCGAAGAAGAAAAGAACACAACACACAAATATGGACGTCAGACAGAAACTAGTGCTGCACACTGTGGCGCTTTTATTTGCTCTGAGAAAAAAATGCAAAAAAAGAAAAAAAAAATTTGATTTACCTGGTGATCATGGAAACAAATATAGACTTCACACTACCTACTACAATTACCTTTGTCTAGGCGTAAATTTTAGTCTCATGCGCTACAGCCAGATGGTGCAACATTTATTAATTCTACGTAGGACTTAAATGCATTTTATGTTAAGCTTAGTCTTACGACTGGATGAACATCCAGATGGTGCAATCGGCCCCAGGTGCTTTTCAGAATCGATGCTGAAGTAAAAGTTTTACATTAAATTAAGTTTTTACATTAAACAATCACAATTCAACTGTTTTTTAAAGACACAATGTTTTTTTCTGTTTCATGCTATTGACACAGAAGTATACAGAGATAAAACACTGCAAGTATATATATATATATATAATTTGTCTTGAAGCTTATCAGTGGTCCAGTATTGACCCAATTATGAACCAGTCCAAAAAAATACCGGCTCTTGGTACCCATCCCTACCCAGAGTACAGTATTGGGGCTTCTTTCCAGTATGAAGTCGCTCATGTGTTTTTCAGGTGAAACTCATGTCACAATATGAACACTTGAAAGGTTTTTCTCCAGTATGAATCCGTTGGTGTCGTTTCAGTTGAGTGGGTGTAGTAAAGCTCTTCCCACAGTCAAAACACATAATATTTCACTTTATTATGTGTTTTCTGATGCTGTTTAAAATGATCCATTCTTGAAAAACTCTTTCCACAGACAGAACACACATGAGGCCTCTCGCCTGAATGAACTTTCAGGTGTTTGTTTAGATTTGATGATGAAATAAAATCTTTTCCACACTGGCCACAGTTAAATGTTTTTTCTCCAGAGTGACGGAGCAGATGAACACGGAAAGCTGACGTTTCTCTGAAGCTCTTTCCACACTGAGTGCATGGATACGGTTTCTCTCCAGTGTGAATCCTCATGTGTGCGTTAAGGTGTCCTTTTTGACTGAAAATCTTTCCACACTGAGTGCAGGTGTGCGTCTTTTTGGCTTTTGTTTCTCGAATTTTAAAGTCATGATGTTCCTCCTTAATTTTCTCCATTTGTTGTCTTTGCTCTTTCACTTCCATCTGATCTAAAATAAAAATAACATTAGAATCAGTTTAAGTGAACCCTGATTTAATAGCAGAAAGCAACAGATATCAAGTATCAGACCTTTGATGTGCCAAAGTTTAGTTCTGTCATTCTCTTGTTAATGTGATCAAAATTGTGTTTGCCAACTGTTATAGCCAACAAAATTATTATTAAAAGTGCATACAATATGATAAAAAATAATAACAATTTCTATAGAATTTTTAATTTATATTCATACTGGTTATCATTTCAAAGCTAACAAAGCAATGAAAAATCAAGAATGTACACCAACCTATTTGTTCCTCAGTTTCTTCATGTTTTATTCTGGATGGTTCTGGATCACTCATGTCTTCTTTAATAAACTCCATCTTTAACAGTCACACAGATTTCAGCTGCTACTCCTGGAGTTTGTCCTTCTCTTGTAGGATGATGGGAATATTCCCAGTATTTATTGGTGAATTATTGTGGGATGGTCACCAGATCTTCCAAATAAAATGAGAAGTTACTGAATTATTTTATTTTTTATTTACCAGGAGGACAGTGCATATTAACAAGAGTACACCTGTAACATGCCAGACTTAGCCAACGTCTAGTTTTCATCAGTAGTCCTGTTTGCCAGTGGCACCCTAAGTGAAGCATAAAACCTTATAAACAATGGCCAATTATAAAACAATACTGTTGTACGGATGTGTTTGTCCGCTACAGATCGTTAAAGATCAGTAAAATTAGTTCTGAAAAACAGCAGTTTTACGTACAGGCAGCAACAGCAAGTAGCATGCACTGTCAGTAAAGCATGTTAAAACATTTGTTGGATGCAGATTAAGATGAAAAAGTCATAAAAACTTTATTTTTTACGAAAAAATATGCATTCACAACTGAAACACTAATGGCAGCAGCAAGGCTTCAGTTCTGACAGGTCTGATTACTATTGAGCCAACGTTTAAGATGAGATCGAAAGAGGCGTTGCTGTGTTGCTGTCTCTGTTGAAAAGCCCTAAAAGAGAAGATGGACTGACAAAAAGCACTTTTTCAAAGGCCTACCTGTGTGTTTATTTATAGGTAAAAAAATAAATAAAATTGTAACGCCCATGGCTAGACAAGCCTAAGTTACATTAAAAATACATTAACTTTCTGGCTCGTAAGTTAGCTAAACTGAAGGGTTCAACAAGGTGAGCAGACATGGTTGTAAATAAACCGCCAGACTCGTAACAAAGGAAACCAAAGTAATGTTTGTAAAAAATTGTAAAATGAATTAAAATATAAACCATTGTTTTAAAAAGGTGACCATAAGCGGGTTAAGAGGTGAAGACCACCTCTGAGGTGTCCATTGTCTGGGTTTTAATTAAAGGACTTCTGGTTTTAAACGTCCTACGGATACCAGGGCATTAACCCTGGCCTCAAACGTTACCTTTATACACAAACTCGAGGAGCTGGTTAATGTTTAACTCTGTAATCTGGTAACATATCTCACCTGCAGACTGGAAATATACGACATCCGAAGAAAATATTCCACATTTGTCCTCCATCCACGTCATTTTCAGCCTCAACTGATGAAATCTTCAGCTCCTCTCGTCTCTCTCGCTTTTCTCTTCTGCGCATCCACAGTGCGCAGCGTGTCATATTTCTTAAAGGGGCCGCATATTCTTAAAGTCCCCCTGTAATCAATAATTGTATCCCTTGAAACTCGTCTTTGATAGCCAAAATGACACATTTGAGCCTTTCCCCCCCTTGAAAATAGATTAAACGTAACTCCACCTTGTCTCACTCACACCAGCCCATTGTAGATGGTATTTCTCTGATTCGAATCAGTGCATCGACATAAAAGTATGCATAATGATGTGATGCATTGATTGTTTTATATTTAATTATTAGTAGAAGCCCTATACGTTTATTATTGAGAAAGTGGCCATTCATTTGTGACCAATATTTTATTTGTAGATTGATTTCTCTGTGCCTTCTCTCATCACCACTGCTGCTAGTGAATGTGAAGTTACTCTACACAGACCGAGGCGAGAGTCACGTAGAACAGTGCATTTCAACCTGTGGGCCGCAGCCCCCTTTATTATGGTTGTAATAAATGTTAATGTTAATTTATTACGATTGTAATAAAGCAAAATACGATGACAGTGACCTTGAATGTACGTGACTGATCACTATATTCTGCATGAACACAGTTAAATATATTTGCCTGTTTTATAAAGGATGCTCGCCAAAGAAGCATGTTTTAGAAAACTTTTAAACTATACCAATGGTCCAGCTCTGGGCTAAAGATCGCAGTTGGGTTACATAAGGTACAGACAGAGACCCAACTCCTAAATGTATTTTCTTTTAAACAGTTAAAGGGATAGTTCACTTTGAAATTAATTTTTGATATGTTTTAGCTTACCTCAAGGGCATCAAAGATGTAGGTGTCTTTGTTTCCACAGTATTTTCAATTTTGACATTTTTCGGTCAAACCGTTCTTGTCTGTCAGTCATATAATGCGAGTATGGAGGTCCACGTTAAAGAGCATGCACAGAGAAGTCCAAATTAAACATGATTTAATGACTCGTAAATGTAAGTACACATTGATGGCCTAAGACACGAAATGAGCGGTTTGTGTGAGAAAAAAAAACATGTTTGTGCTCTTTATGTTCCATGTGAAACACACACCCTTAATCTAATGGTTGCAGATTCAGCAAATCAGTCAGAAGATGCCATTAGCGTCTTTGGTATAGTTCAGAAGCTTTATAACTTGTTAATAACTTAAGAAGCATGTCCAGATCACACTCAAGTAATGGAGTGAGTAGGGTTGGGTATCGAGAATCGAGTATCGATTGGAACCGGGACTAACTTTTCATTTTTCCCGGAATCGTTCAAAAGTTAAAATTTCGATTCCTAGTTTCGATATTCACAGTCCGCCGAGCGGAAGAAGAAACCGCTGAACAACACCAACGAAGAAGCGTCTACCGGAAGTGTTGGCATAGCCACGCGAGTCGAACATGAGTACCTTACGTCGGCGATCCAAAGTGTGGCTTCACTTTTCTAAAAATAACGAAATCTCGGCAAGATGCAAAATTTGTGACAAAAGGAGTATTTTTACAGAAGGAGTATTTCCTTCAGAAAGGCCGTTGGTTAGCAAGGTTAGCTAAACTTTTTTGACCCTGCCTCTTAGAAGAACCGGAATCGAGAATCGTTAGGAACCGGAATCGAAACAAGGAATCGGAATCAGAATCGTTCAAATTCAAACAATACCCAACCCTAGGAGTGAGATAAGATGGATAGGGCAGTGTTGTAGTCGAGACCACCTCACTCGAGTCCGAGTCGACACCGAGACCAGAGAGAGTCGAGTCCGAGTCAAGACCGAGTCCATAGAGAGTCGAGTCCGAGTCGAGTCCGAGACCAGAGACGGTCGAGTCCGAGTCGAGACCGAGACCAGTGAGGGTTGATTACCTAATTTACTTTTATTTACTTAGAGAAATCCTTTTTTTTTTACTGAATTTACTTAGAGTTTAAAAAATATGATCAGTTTAGGGTAAAAAGGGCACATAGTAGGTGGTGTTAAAAGTAATTTTATTACAATTTGTCATGCGCACTAGAAAATCACCAATCACTGGGCGTGTCAATCAATTTAAAGAAATATTTTATTAACATACATTAATAATCATGAAAAATATTTTGAATTGAACTCGAGTGGACTCGGGAATAAGTCAGAGTCCTAAAAAAAAAATGTTCGAGTACGAGTCAATTCCGAGTCCAAATGGACACGAGTCCATGACAAGACCAAGACCATTAAAATATGGTCTCGAGACCGAGTCCGAGTCTCGTGTACTACAACACTGGGATAGGGTCAATAGTATTGAGCCTGTACGGTACCAAACTAACAAAGTCAGAGAGGCCTTGACTGAAGTCAGAGACTAAACAGATGATCCTGCAGCAAGAATTGAGGCCCAGTCACTGGCAGAAGAAATAGGATCATTCAGATTTCAAAACTGCACGGTGGTCTGGTTGGATATCCTGTCAAAAATCCACCGATGAACTCCTGCAATCTGAAAACATGCAGCTTGAAGAACATGCAGCTCTGTTTGACGTACAGGGACAAATGATTCTCTGATGCCCTGTCAAAAGCGAGATAATCATTCGAGTACCTGAATCTGGAAGCAGTGCTGGCACAAAAGAGGATTTAAACCTCAAAAAGGCTTTAGCAGATGAGCCTGTGAATGATGCAGTAAAGAGAATGGAGGTAACATTCGATAAACGTTGTTGTTGACGCCGCCATCCAGTAAAGGAAGATCGTTTTGTATCACTAAAGAACGTAGGTCAAGTTAAGTCACATTCATTTATATAGTGCTTTTAACAATATAGATTGTTTCAAGGCAGCTTTACAATGATAAAAAGAAAATAAAGAGATGGTTTTGGCTTTACAGCAGCTTTGTCCAGTTTAAGTTAGTTTTGACTGATTTACTTGAAACCTATAGAACACAATATAAACAAGTATTTCTAGTTATCTAATCATTCACAAAGTCAAATAATGTTCTTTTGAGAGCAACTCCATATTTCGATAATCTCAAAACATTTACTTATTTTTCAAACATTAAACATTTACAGTATTTGATATGAAAATGTTGCTCACTGTGACGACTTATGATACTTCATCTTGTGACTGAGAAAACTACATGAATGTCTAAAACTCTCTCCACACTCAGTACAGTGATACGGCTTCTCTCCAGTGTGAACTCGCTCATGTGATTTCAGTTGTCCCAACTGAGTGAAACTCTTGTCACAATATGAGCACTTGTGAGGTCTTTCTCCAGTATGAAGTCGCTTATGTAAATTCAGTGCTCCCAACTGATTGAATCTCTTGTCACAGTATGAGCACTGGTAAGGTTTTTCTCCAGTATGAATTCTTTGGTGCTGTTTCAGTTCACCAGCTCTAGCAAAGCTCTTCCCACAGTCACAACACACATGATCTCTCACTTCATCATGTGTTTTCTGGTGCTGTTTACAACATACCAGTCGTGAAAAACTCTTTCCACAGAGAGAACACACATAAGGCTTCTCATCTGAATGGACGTTCAGGTGTGATTTTAGACTTGATGATGAAATAAATCCTTTACCACACTGATCACAGTTAAATGTTTTTTCTTTGGAATGAATAGGCAGATGATTTCTCAAACCCGCTGAATCTTTGAAACTCTTCTCACACTCAGTACACTGGTACGGCTTCTCTCCAGTGTGAACTCGCTCGTGTGATTTCAGAGATTCAGACTGAGTGAAACTCTTGTCACAGTATGAGCACTTGTGAGGTTTTTCTCCAGTATGAATTCTTCGGTGCAGTTTCAGATATCCAGATGTAGTATAACTCTTCCCACAGTCACAACACACATGATCTCTCACTTCATCGTGTGTTTTCTGGTGCAGTTTACAACTGTTAAGCTTTGAAAAACTCTTCCCACAGACAGAACACACATAAGGCTTCTCACCTGAATGAACTAACAGGTGTAGTTTTAGATCTGATGGTGAATTAAAACCTTTACCACACTGATCACAGTTAAATGCTTTTCCTCCAGAGTGAACCTGCTGATGAATATTGAGACCTGACGCTTGAGAAAAACTCTTTCCACACTGAAAGCATGGATACGGTTTTTCTCCAGTGTGAATTCTCATGTGTGCGTTAAGGCTTCCTTCTTGACTGAAACTCTTTCCACAACGAGTGCAGGTGTGCAGCTTTTTGGCTTTTGTTTCTTGAAATTTGAAGTCATGTTGTTCCTCCTTAATTTCCTCCAGTTCTTGTTTTTCCTCTTTCACTTCCACTCGATCTAAAATAAACAAAGTCAGAAGAATCAGTTTAAGTAAACCCTGATTTAATAGCAGAAAGCAACATAGATCAGACATTTGATGTCAAACATATTGCTGATCATGTTAACAAGAGCATGACAGAACAATCTTTCACAACTGTTAAAGCATAGAATACTTTAATTAAAGGGTTGATGAACTGAGAAATCAAATTTTCCTTGAGCTTTTGTATCTAAGAGGTCATCATATTATGAGAATATCCTGTAAGTTTCAGAACTGAAAACGCACTTGTTAGTCCAATATAGTGTTGTCACGGTACCAAAATTTCAGTATTCGGTACCGATACCAGTTAAAATTCACGGTTCTCGGTACCAATTTCGGTACCAAAGCTTAGTTTAAATTTACATATATTTAAGTGTTTATCACGGTTACAAGTATGGAAACTGTACATTTGTATTATAAATACTTTAGAAAAAGATTAGATAAAATGACCTAAAATAAACAATAGTATACACTAACACATTTTTAAAGTTGTTTGTAAAGTTTTAATCCATTATTTATTTAATGCACAATGAATTAAGTGAACAAACATGAACAATCAGGTGTTTGTAATAAATAACATTTTCAAACATTAATTAATGTTGTAAAAATATATTGTTCACTCAATGTGTTGATAACTAAGTAATGTTTATGAATGGTATCTTTGTAGCATTACCATAAAACATGTTTTATTTGACTTGACTGTCCTTTTATTAATCTAAAACTGCATTCATATTTAATTTTAAAAAGGCTTTTTAAACCTGCTGAGTTATAAAGGCAAGAATACGCCTAGAACTGGCACTGACATTAAATGACAATACTAATACCAGTAGTACTCTGGTGTCGGGTGGATACTACTGTGCTCATGAGTTCGTAAAACTACCCCGAAAGCACTTTAGAGGCCGTTCACATGTCGCGCGTGTTTTTTAATTATATTTTTGCGCGCGCTTATTCTTTCCAAAGCGCTTGCTCTCACGCGGCGTCTGTCGTTGCTATGCAACGCCAACGAGTTTTTATTAGGAGCGCGCTTGAATCACGCCTATATTTGAAATTGCGAATTTGCATGTAATCGGCCTCTTATGGCAACGTGACATTAGCCTAATCCAAAATATTTCCATATGTGGCTCCCCAGATAGCAAACTGACATTGAATCAACGTGGAAATATGACATCGAAACAACGTTGATCTGACATTGTTTTGCTCATCGAATTAACGTTGAACCAACGTCAGACGCGTCATTCTTTCAAAACTAACCGAAAATCAACTTGAAATCAACGCGTTGTTTCAACGTTATGAAAGCAAACCAATTTTCGATTTCATTTAGCTTTGAAGAATGCCGCGTCTGACGTTGGTTCAACGTTAATTCGATGAGCAAATCAACGTTGTTTCAATGTCATGAGAGACGTCGTTTCCACGTTGATTCAATGTCGGTTTGCTGTCTGGGTCTTTCCTCCTTTCGTGTCAACAAGTGGATTCAGAGAGAGAGAGCCATATCAGCGTTATGAAGAGGACGCAACTGTGCACGTTTCAGACATCGCGTCTAGAACAGAACTGGATTAACCTGGTACTCGGTACCTAGAAAAGCTGGTACCGTAACATTTTTTTTTTTTTAGTACCGACTTGGTACCGAAGTACCGAGTTTTTTGACAACACTAGTCCAATAAAAGCTTTTATTGACCCAAGCCTCTGAAAACGACTCGTTTTTAAAAGTGGGGAACTATGACGTCAAAGAGGATAAAACACCACCCCCGCAGAAGATCAACGAGGCTGGTTTAGCCCCGCCCACCGATTCGCGCATTCACGCATAGCTAAATAACATAGGCCTACCTCGTGATGACAAACCGGATCGAGCTACCGAGCAATACAGAATATTGAGAATATTAAAGAACGGTGCTCTGCCGTCTATATTGGATCTGACAGGAATGGTTCAACACACGGACTCTGGGTTGAACATGTATGGCCGAATCATTCCGGTTGCCATTTTACAACATTGGACGTTTTCAAAACTATTTCCCCCAAGTACACCGACGGGTGAGTCGAAACGCATTATAATATGCAAAGCAGTGGGCGTTTACTTCCAAGCTCCAAGTCTTCAGTGCGAGACGGCCATAAAAACCGAGCGTTCGGCTCTAAACTAGGGTAGAAAATAGTCTATTACTTATTCATTTTGATGTTTTTGAACGCAAAAACCAAGTGAACGTCATAAGTTGACCTCAGCCAACAACATAATAAAATTTAAAAAGCCAGTTCATGACCCCTTTAAAAGAACATAAAAGATGCTGATTGCATTTCTATCAAAAAAAATTAATTCCTATACTGCTTATTATTTCACAGCTACCAAAGCAAGGAAAAATCAAGAATGGACACCAACCTATTTGTTGCTCAGTATCTTCATGTTTTATTCTGGATGGTTCTGGATTAGTCATGTCTTCAATCTCTTCTTTAATAAACTCCATCTTTAACAGTCACACAGATTTCAGCTCCTACTCCTGTTTATTTATTTTTCTACCTTAGAACGAAAAACAAAAAAATCAAGCTGAATTCTTGTTTTTCGTTTCGTGGAAAAAAAGAAAGGAACTGGGTCCGTGCATCATCCGATCATTTATCCGATTTGAAATGAAATAAGCAGAAATGAGAAAACGGCACATTTATTCGTTTTTTTATTCCCTCTATAGAAAATGTACTTATTTTTTGAAGAAATATAGAGATAGTTTATGTACTATGATTAGAATCCGTTTGCAGTTTTTCCCCCCATTTTTCTTCTTTCTTTAGCTCTTTCACTTTTTTGTGCTATAATTGTGCACTATAATGAGTTAAATTGTTTAAAATATACATAGTTGGAAATGTTTAACATTTCTAAAAGATGTGGCAGACGCCTCCGGACACCTCGTCGGTCATTAACCCTTAACGTTACTTACACACAAACTCGAGGAGCTGGTTTATGTTAATGTTAAACTTTGTAATCTGGTGGTAACATCTCTTACCTGCAGACTGGAAATATACGGCATCCGAAGAAAATATTCCACATTTGTCCTTCGTCCACGACCGTTAACAGCGTCACTTTCAGCCTCAACTGGTGAAATCTTCAGCTCGTCTCGTCTCTCTCGCGTCGCTTCTCTCTTCTGCGCATCACCAGTGCGCAGCGTGTCATATTTCTTAAAGGGGCCGCATATTCTTAAAGTCCCCCTGCAGTCAATAATTGTATCCCTTAAAACTCGTATTTGATCACTAAAATTACATATTTGAGCGGTTTTTTTTTTCTTTGAACAAATAAAAAAATACAAATTTATTTCTGAAGAAATATATGCCAATCCCTGGTACATTGGCATATATTTCTTCAGAAAGAATTTTTTTTATTTATTTATTTTTTTCAAAGAAAGAAAAACGCTCAAATATGTCATTTTTGTGAAGACATTTCACATGCAAAGATGGCAGTCTGCCCAAGATGTGAGAACTCCTTCCTTCTGCAGAGTTCGGGGGTATCGCTTGTCAACAAATGCACGCGTGTATTCCCTGGTGTAGCCATGACAGATTTTACGACAGTAGTAGAAGACAATATTGTTTGCAACTGTAGGGGGATCCCCAGAGCAACATTTAAAAAACGTCATAATGCTGCTTTAAGCATTGCCGAGAGACTACTGCGTGCTGGAGTGGCGGTAGTTAAAACATCGTCCTTTAATTTACCTGGTCCTCCAGGAGTGCTATCAATAGTGAGACAACAATCACAAGCGGATTCTGGCTGAGTCTCATGCGTTTTCCCACCAGTGGAGCAAGTTGATATATTAAACTTTTACCGTATCCAGTCGGCTCAAAGAAAAGCTTCAGTTCACATCATCCAGAGTAGCGAAGTAGTCAAAGCCGAATCGAAAGACAGCTGTTCGCCAGCAGCAGCCATTGTTTGCTTTCAAGTAACAGTGAACCGTCGCAACTCTGTCGTCATTATGTTAAGCCCGCCCGCCGACTCTATACACGATGTGATTGGTCTGACCAGAGTTTGGTTTTTCCAGCTAAAACGTCTATGGAGAGTTGCTAGATCACACTGGCTGCGAAATAATTTTTGCTGCCGCTAGGGTGCGTCTAGATTTCGAAGCTAATCGGCCCCAGGTTTTACATTAAATTAAGTTTTTACATAAAACGATCACAATTCAACTGTTTTTTAAAGACACAATGGTCTTTTTCTGTTTAATGCTATTGATACAGAAGTATACAGACATAAAACAATGCAAGTATATATATATATATATATATAATTTGTATATGTATAAATATAATTTGTCCTGAAGCTTATCAGTGGTCCAGTATTGACCCAATAATTAACCAGTCCAAAAAAATACCGTACCCATCCCTACCTAGAGTACAGTATTAGGGCTTCTTTCCAGTGTGAAGTCGCTCATGCGATTTCAGGTTTCCCGACTGAGTGAAAATCTTGTCACAGTATGAGCACTTGTAAGGTTTTTCTTCAGTATGAATTCTTCGATGCCGTTTCAGATGACTAGATCTAGTAAAGCTCCTCCCACAGTCACAACACACATTACACTCACTTCACTTATGTGTTTTAAGGTGCTGTTTAAAACTGTCCAGCCCTGAAAAACTATTTCACATAGGGCTTCTCATCTGAATGAACTATCAGGTGTTTCTTAAGATTTGATGATGAAATAAAAATCTTCCCGCACTGAGAACAGCAATACGGCTTCTCTCCAGTATGAACTCGCTCATGATATTTCAGGGTTCCAGAATGAGCGAAACTCTTGTCACAGTATGAGCACTTGTAAGGTTTTTCTCCAGTATGAGTTCTTTGATGCAGTTTGAGATGACTTGATGAAGTAAAGCTCTTCCCACAGTCAAAACACAGATAATCTCTCACTTCATTGTGTGTTTTCTGATGCAGTTTTAAACGATTCATTATTGAAAAACTCTTTCCACAGAGAGAACACACATGAGGCTTCTCATCTGAATGAACTTTCAGGTGTTTGTTTAGACATGACGACGAATGAAAATCTTTTCCACACTGATCACAGTTATATGGTTTTTCTCCAGAGTGACGGAGCAGATGAACACGGAAAGCTGACGTTTCTCTGAAGCTCTTTCCACACTGAGTGCATGGATACGGTCTCTCTCCAGTGTGAATTCTCATGTGTGTGTTAAGCTGTCCTTTTAGACTGAAGCTCTTTCCACACTGAGTGCATGGATACGGTTTCTCTCCAGTGTGAATTCTCATGTGTTTGTTAAGGTCTCCTTTTTGTCTGAAACTCTTTCCACACTGAGTGCATGGATACGGTTTCTCTCCAGTGTGAATTCTCAAGTGTTTGTTAAAGTTTCCTTTGTGTCTGAAACTCTTTTCACACTGAGTGCATGGATACGGTTTCTCTCCAGTGTGATTTCTCATGTGTGAGTTAAGGTTTCCTTTGTGACTGAAACTCTTTCCACACTGAGTGCAGGTGTGCGTCTTTTTGGCCTTTGTTTCTTGAATTTTAAAGTCATGATGTTCCTCCTCAATTTTCTCCAATTGTTGTCTTTGCTCTTTCACTTCCATCCGATCTAAAATAAACAGAACATTACAATAAGTTCAAGTGAACCCTGATTTAATAGCAGAAAGCAACAGATATCAAGTATCAGACCTTTGATATGCCAAATTTTAGTTCTGTCATTCTCTGGTTAATGTGATCAAAATTGCGTTTGACAACTTTTATAGACTACAAAATGATGATTATGAAAATTTAAAATATGAAAAGTACATAAAATATGTCAATTAAAATAATATAAGCATTTCCATTAGAGCCAGACCGATATTATCGGCCGATATTAGGTATTTTCCAAACTATCTGTATCGGCAGTTATAATGGCCGATAAATGAATATTTCAAAACTAAAATAAAAACGGACAAAACATGCTTGAACCATGTCATGAGTGTTGGAGTTGTACAGTTTGTCCACCAGAGGGCACTCTACACCGTTCCTGTTGGCAACACTCGTCGAGTTGGTCACGAGACATAACTTGAATAACAATTAAAAGAACATCCCCATCAGTTCTCTTAACTAAAATAAGCATGACAAAATTAGTGACAATAATGTCCAGTTTAAAATAAATAAATAAATAAATAAATATCGGCCGATATATATCGGAATATCGGATTTTAAAACCCCAAAATATTTGCATCGGTATCGGCCTTCAAAATCCTTCATTGGTCGGGCTCTAATTTCCATAGAACTTTTCCTTCATGTGCTGCTAATCATTTCACAGCTACCAAAGCAATGAAGAATCAAGAATGGACACCAACCTGTTTGTTCCTCAGTATCTTCATGTTTTATTCTGGATGGTTCTGGATCAGTCATGTCTTCAATCTCCTCTTTAATAAACTCCATCTTTAACAGTCTCACAGATTTCAGCTGCTACTCCTGGAGTTTGTCCTTCTCTTGTAGGATGATGGGAATATTCCCAGTATTTATTGGTGAATTGCCGTGGGATGGACGCCAGATCTGCCAAAGAGAAGTTACTGAATTTTTAAATTTTTTTTATTATATTTACCAGGACAGTGCATATTAACAGATATTTTTATTTAAATTAAACACTGCTGCTCATTCACGTAAGTCGTGTGCAGAATGTGCTGCTGCTCCTCTCGGCCATGCACTGAACAGGTTCGACACGGAAAAAATCAAGACCTCGCGCTCGCAGGACAGTACTGGCAACATTTGGAAGTAGCTAAAATTTGTCCAAAAAGTTGCTAGATTTGTCGCTAGGCGCTTTTCAAAAATGGAAATACGAATTGGCGTGTCAAACATACGCCATTTCATGAGATCAGTCTGGTATACTGTACATACATTTTCAATAAAGGGACAGAAAGGTCTCGGACTAAATATAAATATCTTAAAATGTGTTCCGAAGATGAACGGAGGTCTGACGGGCTTAGGACAACATGAGGGTGAGCCATTAATAACATAATTTTAATTTTTTGGTGAACTACCCCTTTAATGTAGTAACATCAACTCTACGGTATATTGACAGAAATAATCAAATGATTACGAGTACTACACATCATCATCCAGCACTTCAAAAAGCAAATTACATTTAAATGTTATTTTTAATGTGATGACCAAAACATTTTTTTGTTCATCCTTCAAAGATTGTGCATTTTTATCAAAATAAAAGTTTCCAGATTTTGTAAAAGTCACACTTATTTAAATAATAAAAAAATAAGAGATATAATATACCATAATTATGTAGGTGCATGGTTGCTGAGAACCTCCCGTATCAATTTTTTCCCTAGTTTTGCTTTTAAATTAATATACGACATTATGCTTGATAATAATTGAAGCTAATTTTATCTACACCTCAAATTAAGCTTTGTGTTTTATCGTCAGCTCCACAGTATTACCACTTTCTGTAGAACTTAGTGACTCCGGTGCCGCTGCCCTCAAATGTTAGTCTGGAGCCCAGTGAACTTAACGTACAGCAATTACAATATACAGTTTAAGGCATTTGTCAGTGAGACAATCAAAATGGGGGGAAATGTGAATAACTGCGCTGCAGGTTGATTTAAGCTGTGCTCCTAAAGAAAATATCAGTTATGGGCTACAGGGTTCCTAGTAAAAACAGTTAGTCTGGAGTCCTGAACAGAGTCTGTGAAAAAAAAAAACACTCTAGTACTAACATAACATATTATTACACTCTAATAATAATAAACCAGGACACACAACGCACTCCATAAAGAAGATGGTCCTCACTGCAGAACACAAAATCTCCTCCACCCATATCCTATCTCCACCCCTTGAGATCTAGATCCAACTCGGCCCCCTGGATCTCATGTCCCGCAATGAGTTGCTCTCCACCCAAAAATGAAAATTCTGTCATCATTTACTCACCCTCAAGTTGTTGTAAACCTGTAGTTTATTTCTTCTGCTGAACACACAGGAAGATATTTTGAAGAACGATTAACCAAGCAGTTATTTGGCACCATTGACGACATAGTAGAAAAATAAAAATACTATTTGTTTGTTTTCAATCGTTCTTCAGAATAAATTTCTTTGTGTTCAGCAGAATAAAGAAACTCATAGATGTTTGCAACAACTTGAGGGTAAGTAACGTTAAATGATGACAGAATTTTCATTTTTGTATCCCTTTAAACACACAAACTCGAGGAGCTGGTTAATGTTAAACTATGTAATCTGGTAACGC